TGCTAGTAATAATACTGCTGCTATACCTAGATTACGTGAATTGTGTGGTGCTTCTACATTGATGGGTAGATTTTTTCATCAACGTTGTGCATGTCATATTCTAAATTTGTGTGTACAAGATGGCTTAGCGGCATTAGGAAATGCTTTGGAGGTAGTCAAGGGGGGAATTAAATTGATTTGGGCTAACACTCCACTAAAAATGCAATGGCGGCAATATTTGAAGGATAGACGTGTGAATTATTGTGCTTTTCCTAAAGATTTGTCTATTCGTTGGAATAGTACTTATAATTTAATTCAAGTACTTGTTAGATATAAAGATCATTTTCCAGCTTTTTTAAGACAAACTTGTAACTACATTATAAACCCGGCTGACATCGACACTTGTGAAAAAATTGTTAATGTTTTGGCATATTTTAATAACGCAACTCTAACTTTTAGTCATGTTTATAAACCTACCGCAAACGAATTTTTTGTTGAAGCTGTTAATCTCGCCGGCGCTTTTTGTGAATTTTCCGACGCCGCTTACGTTAGTTATTTTTGTGATTTCATGAAACAAAAGTTTTTAAAATATTATTCACATATTCCGCATATATATGGTATTGCATTTGTTCTTGATCCTCGTTATAAACTTCCTTACTTGACAAATTGTATAGATTACTATTATGCTTCTTTTTTTCCAACTCAAGAGTTCGATGATAATCCCATCGACCCTAAACAAGAATTCAACGAGGTTAGTAATTTATTTCATCAATTGTATAATGAATTTCATGCACAATATGGTAATGCACCCCCTCCCATGCAACGAACATCTTCTTCATCTAAAGGAAAATCACTTTTAAAATCCGCTTTTGGTTCTCTTTTGAAAAAAAGTAGAGCAACTCCCGCTACTGAACAAAGCTCAGGTAACGAGCTTTCTTTGTATCTAACATTGAATGTTGATTATGAAGTTGGTGATGACTTTGACGTTCTTAAGTGGTGGAAGGAAAATGAAAGAACATTCCCGATTTTATCAAAGATGGCTAAGCAAGTACTAGCAATGACGACATCAACCGTTGCCGTGGAACAAGAATTCAGTGCGGCCGGCAACGTCCTAACAGATTTTAGAACGAGGTTGAGCCCGAGCTCTCTTGAGACACTAGTTTGCTTTCACGATTGGTTGAAGGCCCAACGAAGAACTCAAGAAATTACCATCACTCCCTCCCGCCACTTTATGGAGGAAACAACCGAAGGCGGAGAGTCCGATTGATTTTTTATTACAAAATGTATTACATTTTTTAAATTCATCCTAATTCTCAATTGGACTTCTTATTTGAAATAAATATACTTCAATTTGAATATAATATATTGTAATTGTAATAAGATTTATTCTAATTATATAATAATTAAAAAAAAAAAAATTAAATAGGCCCGGCCCGGCCCGCCGGGCGGCCCGGCCCGTGAACCGGGCGGGTGACCCGAACCGAACCGGACCCGGGGTTATCCGGGCCGGTTCCGGGCCTGCCTTCCTAGAACCGAGGCCCGGCCGGGCCCGAACCGGCCCGATTCCATTCCTAATAACACATGTAGATAAGGTAATGTGAAAAACCATTTTTGTACTAGTGGATCCTAAAAAACGAAAAATTAGGAGCGAGCGTTTATGACTTGACTAAGAAACTTGATAGTAAAAAGGAACAGTTCAAATGATTTTCGTTTAGCAATCTAAGGACACTCGTTTCTACAACTTCAAAGATGGTCTAGGTCTCTCTAATCCTCATTATCTGAACATAGTTGATTGTGCTCAACTCTATGATGTCAGATAGATGGGATTAGGGTTAACCAAGCTTATGGTCTTTACAGGATTCGAAGAAACCAATGCTCTCGAGTCTCGAGGATCACAAGAGAAAAACCAAAGCTAGAGTTGAGATTCTTTTTGACTATTCAGAACTGAACAAAGGTTACAAGAATCGTGACATCCCTTTGACTTATGGAGAAGAAAATCTTTCTTATCCACCTGAAAATGAAATTGTGCTAGACCAAGAGGATCCCTTGTTTTCTGAACCTGAAACAAGAAAAGCATACATTCCACCTTTAGTAAAGAAATTCGATGATCTATAGTAGGGATGCACCCGGGCCAGTTCGGTTCCAGTTCCAGGCCGGGTTCGGGCGGGCTTTTTTTGCAAATCCTTGGGCCCGGAACCGGCCCGGGTTGATACCGGGTCCGGGCCTAACCGGGTCGGGCCGGGCCTGGTTCAATGTCTAATTGTTTTTTTTTTGCTTTCTTGTTATCCCCCGATCCCTCACCCCCAAACCCCCCCAAAACACCCATTCCTACCCTAGGAAAAGAAAAAAATTGAAAAAAACAATTGACCCGGGCCCAGCCCGAACCGCTCGGGCCGGTTCGCCCAAAATTGGGCCCGAGCCCGGCCCGCCCGACCCGCCCGACCCGCCCAAATGGGCTAAAAGTCCGGAACCGGCCAACCGGTCCCGGTCCGGGCCCGCACAGTAGCGGGCCGGTTCCGGGCCGGACCGGCCCGGTTTAGTCCATCCCTAATCTATAGGAATCTTTTGAAAAGAAAATTAGGAAAATTCTTGAAGTTGAAAGAAACAAAATTTCCAACCTGTTCCCCTTCATCCACTCACTCCAAGTCTCATTCACCACCATTAAATCATGTGTAGAGGTGACCGGAGAAGAGAGGTGAATGGGTCGAAGAGAAGATGAGAAGAATAGAGAAAGAATAAGTTTTTGTTAAAAATAAGAAAAAGGGTTCTAGTGTCATGTTAAGAATGTTTGCTTTTTTTATTCTGATTCCTCTCCTAACAATGATAATGTGAATATTATTATTGAAAGGTGCTTGAAAAAGCCATCTTCTGATAAAGTGTGTGGCATCGCACCCGGACGTTCTTGAAATTCAATTTAAAATTCAAATTTATGTATTGATTTTTCCTATTATCAAACAATTATAAAACGCTTAAGGCTTTACGTAATGTATGATTGATCGTACTATCGTTTGGGCCCATATTATGATGATGGACTTCCAAATTAGGGCTGGGTCGGAAAAACCGAAAACCAAATCAAATTAAACCGAACCGTGACCAAATAAAACCGAACCGCTGAAAACCGAAACCGAATGTAAAAAACCGAACCGAACCGTAGTAGTTTGATTCGGTTTTGGTTTTTACCCTTCAAAATCGAACCGAACCGAACAAACCGAACATAAATAAAATATGAAATTTGTTTTGTTAAATGTAAGCATTAATCTTAATATCATCAATAATCTTTGAATTTCTTGTGGTAGAGAAATAATGTTTATGTTATGTTTAGTTTAGTTTATAAATGCATTTACACATTCATTGCCCATAATAATGTAATTATATTGATCTATTATGTCTTTTATGTATGTATGTTGCAATTTGTTGCATGATTAAATGTTTTTACTAGTCGCAAACATTGTAAATTAAGAATAGATACACACTTTTATCTCTCCCGCATACTCATATAATTCAAGACATATTTGTTTATTATTATTTTCTTCATTTGTTCAAGTATGCTTGCATTTTTATGCAATATGTTTGATCCCTCCAACTTTTATATCAATTTTAAATTAAATGACAAATATTTAGTAAAAACCCGAAAAAATCGAAACCGAACCGAAACAAACCGAACCAATCAAATCGTGGTTTGAAGTTTTGGAGTGTAAAACCGAACCAAAACCGAACCGAACTTTTAATTTGGTTCCGTATTTGGTTTTAGGTCAAAACCGAACCGAAAGAACTGAACCCACCCCTATTCCAAATACTTAATTGGGCTATTTTATTAAACATAAGAGCCCAACACTATGTAAACAATACATAACCTTTCTAAACAAAATAAGGGAAGTCGGACATTCCAAGTATTACTTTAGGTCTAACTTGCTAAAAATAGCAGGTTTGATGAAAAATGATATCCTAGAACTACTTGAGGATATCCCACACCTATTATAGACTCCAAATAAATGTTAGGAGGACTATAATACTCGATAAATACAAATAAAGGGGTGAGGGGATCCCTAGAGACAAAAACAAAACTCCTATGGTCTCATCTTTAGCATTTTTGAGCTAAATAATGAAGTAGAATTTTCTCATATAATTGCACATCATATGAATTATTGGGACCATCATACACATTTAGAGATAAATAATATGATGTAGAAAGTTGACTTTGTCTAAATAAATAAGAATGAGTACAAAAAGACATCACATGACAAAAGATAAACCAATAATACCTATTCTTCAATTTTTGGAAGTATTGGTAGATACTTTTGATACCAAATTATCTGGGATTACTTGGGGACCATCCCACACCTTCCTAGCACATGTAAAGACAAGAAAAGATGATAATACAAAGGGGAGGGGGCGGACATGTCGATTTATGAGCTCAAACATTACAAAAGAAAATATAGAAGGAGGTCCACCCCATGTTTGATTTCAATCAAACGTCTTACCCTTCTATTTTGTGAACCACATACTACACAAACCCCTATTCGAACTCACTAAGCTTGTTAAAGAGAAAAGCTACACAAAATTAGAAAAAGCAAGAAAAAGGAAAACTGTCCGCAGGATAAACTTCTAGTCTGTAGGGTTGCTTGTTCACTTCATATCTTGAGCTTCAATAATCCAAAATAGGCGTGTGAGGTGTCTACAGAAAGCTCTCAAGATAAGGAATCCGTGAAGGTGCATTTTGAACCATTACCAAAATGTCAGATTGTTTATCTAATATTGGTTTGACCAAAATTAAATTGTTCAACAAAAGAGCTCCATTGTGCAACACACTAGTTCAATGTGAGTACGTGTTCTTACGTTAAGCATCGTTCTCATTTGAACAAAACTCACACTCCCTAACCCGATATATGTTCTTGCCTATCCACCGCCCGTGTAGTTTTAAATACACGCCTATATATGCATCTAAAAATTGAATATGGGGCTGAAAAATGTAGAGGTGCATGCATATATGCATTCAAGCAAACGATTTGCTACAAAACTATGAGCCATTACTTGAGGCCGGACGTTAAGATATAAATAAATAAAATGAACCCCAACTCAATAACCACAATCCTACGTAAACCATTTCTTCCTCTTTGCAAATGATAAAGCATGTACGTAGCAAATGGATGGTCATGCATGCATATACATACAACACTCAGACTTTAGTAGGGGGAAGGAGCCACTTAGATGCTTCTACAAAACCAAGTGTGATGTATGGTCTAACTTCTGGATCAGTCAACTTCCTTACAAACTTTGGCCGCATGTTCATATTAGATCCTGGTCCAGTGTTCTTATATTCCCCAAAGAAAGTAGTCCTACGGTCATTAAAACACAAACAAATAAACAAATGTCAAATTTATCTATATTTGGAATATTATTTGTGTCCAAAAATTATTACAAAAGTAGTAATATAAATGATGAATTGTAGGAAAATTATAATCACGTAATTAATGTGTGCCCCTATTGCTAGACACGTAACTTAACTCACTTGCAAACATAGTCATGTACGTAGCTAATCTATAGTACATGACGACTTTTTCCATCGGAAAGCACTTTTCCGGTGGAAAATTTGCTATCAGCAATGACTTTTTCTAGATATACGTTTTTTTAAGAAATTGTATTTTCTAGTAGAAACGTTGTGCAAATTTTATAGTTATAAGAATGAATCTACAAGTGAATAAAGTTATAGGACAGGTACATGCATAATCAAAAGTTTAGGAGACAATGACATATATATATATATATATATGACTAAAATAAAAAGGATACACACAAATATGTATGTGACTTCTTACACAAAGAGACCATATTATTAACTTTTATTGATTATGGTCATATTTACTTTTACACTATAGTGACTATAAATTATGCACATAGTACATTTATTTATATTTTTATTCATATGTTTCATTCGAGTAATATTATAAGAAAGACCTCCTTAATTAAGAATGTTTTTAATATGAAAGAAATTTTCTGGTTTGGTCAGATTGGACCTGTTTAAATTTGAATTGTCTAATGTAGTAAGAACTAATCTGGCCTAGTAGGCCATGTGTCTCATTCATGTGCATTTTGCAACTGTCGAATTCTGATATTTTGATTTGGGAGTGGATCCGGTGCAAGTATAAACATCCTAAAACAACAATTGTGGCCAATACAAATTCATTAACAAGAATTGACTTACCCTCCATCGGTAGGATTTCCACGCATGCCCATCCACCCCTCTGGTTTGATGCAATTGCCGATTTCAGTATATGAAATGATTACCCTTGAGAAAGGCATCCATCCTCTCCCAAGCAACCCTCCGGTCCCGTTCCCCGAAACTGTGCAATGCGCGAAAGAGTATGCAGTGTCCTCAGCATTGGTGTGCCTAGCTTGTGCTGTTATCACTGCCATATTGTCCCCTTCTATCACATGCAACTCTGTGTTCTACCACCCCAACAAAAAACACAAATTTTAGAGCTAAATATAAGTCAGATTTATACAAAAAAATATGTTGGTTCAACATTGATCATCCTAAAATCTTGATGGATTTGCTATACTGGTTTTCGGATTTTTGATGGAATGAATTTGCTTTCTTATTTGTAATTGCAATATTTGATGGAGAAATTTGCAATTTTTGTCCGTTAAACTTTTGGCCGTTTTCATTATTAGTCCTGTAACTCTAGTCTCTTGCAAATTTGGTCCTGTAACTAGTAAATATTAGCGATTTAAGGACTTTCCCCCTCGAAAAATATACTTTCCGCTGATAGTATACCGGAAAAGGTGTCGCCGACATCGGATTTTTATGCCGGAAAGTGTACTTTCCGGCGGAAAAGTCCTTAAATTGAAAAGATTTATTAGTTACAAGACAAAACTTGCAAGTAATTGAAGTTACAGGACCAATAACGATAACAGTTGAAAGTTATAGGATTAAAATTGCAAATCTCCCTATTTGATGAGACATATACTTAACCGATGAAAATGACAAACTCAAAAATAGTAGAAGAGCACTATATATATAGTCTCGCTCTTCCTAGGGTGGACTATTCTATGTCTTTTAATGACGTGAGTGGGCCGATAGTCTTTGGTTTTGAATGGGTAGAGGGGGATTTAGGTCTTGGGATATTGTTATTGTTTTGGATCGTTTTGATTTAATATAAGCTATTTTCCTTCAAAAAAAAGTATAATCGAATTAATAAACAATTAAGTATCTTGGGATAAAAAAAACAATTATGTATCTTTCTTATCTTATCTTTTTATCCTTATCTTATCATTTTTATCTCATCTATTCTCTTTGTGATTTTTAGTTTCGGTTTCATATGTTAATCGACACCAAGTATTGTTTGGAACAAAAAAATTAAAACTTGTGAAACTGGAGTAAAAACCACACGTGAGAGATCTAAAAAATATGTGTTAAATTTTTCTGCAAAATATAAGGTGAACACCATATACTGATCAATTTTGACATTAATATTACTAGAAATAATGACAAATATATAACCGAAGTGAATTTAATCGATAAAAATATAACTTAGTGACTATCATAATAACTTTAGTGATCATTATTGTATTCAACTTTAAACTATAGTGACTATGCATAGTAACTATAAAAATATTGTTGTTCATAAGTTATATTTCAGTAATATTTAAGAAAAAAGTCATATTACTACTACTATGATGGTCATGGGTCATTCCCTTTTCAATCGTTATTTTAATTTCCCAATTGTATGAAAAGGCCTAAAAGAAGAGATTGGTAAATTTTGGTTTCATACCACATATAGAGACTTGCCATTGCCAAATATGAAATCAACTGTTCCTTCTATATAGCAATCTTTGAAGAAATGTTTTCCAGCATCGTCACAAAATGTGTCCTGAAATCCTTTCATCTTACAGTTGTAATAGGAGGCCTTGTCGCCACTCTGGGTTACAGCCACTGCTTGTTGCCCTGGTTTTTTCCCATCTGGCCTCGGAGCCGAATTCTACGTGCGTAACATACATACATTATTATTACATATACTAACCAATACTTATGAAAAAGAATCATGAAATAATTCACTTTTAACCAAAAACATAAATGGTCTGACCGGATTAAATATTGTACTACCTTTGTCCTTCTAAGTTTGAGACAAGAGGGAGTGGTGAGACTATTTAGAAAACTGAAATTGTATGATTGATATTGAACGGATAAAATTTGAATAAAGTAAAAATGAATTGCAATGATCCAAAGATAAAATGGGACAAAGATAAGAAGAAGGAGAGAGTACTATGTACATAGTGCTAGACACAACTTAAAGGGAGTCACATAGGCACATAGCTCGTATTATTTTTGGGGGATTTGACTTTGCACCTCATTTTTTGTTATATTGGACTTTTGCATCATGTTTTCAAAATGTTTAATATTTGCACCCATCAATCCAAAAAATGTGAAGGAGTGAGGTGTAAAGTCAAATAATTTTATAATGAAATGGATGCATGTATTAATGTTTTTGAAAATATGATGTAAAGTCGATCAAATATCACTCAAAAAATGAGGTCTAAAATAATAATTTCCTTTTTATTATGCTATTGTTCTTCTAATCGGAAATCACGTGTCTCCCAATATCCCACTATCTATATATATACACATAAAAAAAAATCTATGTAAAAAATTGAAAGATAGTCACATATAACTAGTTCTAAATTAGCTCAAGTAGGTTGAAATTAAACCCAGTAAAATCTATCTTAAAAAATTAGTGTAAACTGTTTCAGTTTATCCCGTGATTTCGCATTAAGCTTATTAGTATTATAAATCTTTACCCAAACTTAACCCTAAAGGTGTTATTCCTAAACGAGATCTAGTTGAGGTTAGTTTGGGTCATCCTTTTAGGCTTTTTAGCTACGAAGATGTAATGCCTTATACCTCAACATGACTTTGAGGTAAATTAGCTTAGTTAGTTATCCTTCACAAATTGTTTATTCTTTGATATCTAGTTAACTACTGTTAATATCAATGGACGGCTTAAAACTTTGGGTTGAATCGGGCTGAATAATAAGTTTACTAAGATTAAAGTGGGTTGAGTAAATAGGGAAAAAATCACACTAAAATTTCTAATAAAAATAAAGTTGAACCGGTCTATGCTTCAACGTAACTAGCCTACTACACTCATAGCTAGTCAAGATCAACTTCTGAATAAGACTAACATAGATGTATAATTTACGCACCACAATGTCAACATTAACCGCGCTGAAGTAATCCGATAAAACGTACAAAGTGGCACTGTACACGGTGCCATCTTTAGCCGCCGTGCTATCAAAGACTATGGTGGGCCGATTAGCCGGATCACCGTACAAGGTGATGAATGGCTTGTTCCTTTCTATCTTCACTCTCTCCTTGTAGGTCCCGCCAGCCAATGAAATGACAACTCGTTGTGTGTTTCCGGCGGGAACGCTGTTGATGGCATCAGAAATGGTCTTGAAATCCCCTTTTCCGTCGCTACTGACCTTAATGTGGGAGACGTTGGCCTCGGCCTTGGCCAGGTCGGGATCGAGGTCCTTTCTGGATGCGAGGGGTTGGACGTTGGCAGTGAACCAAGTGTTCACCTGATCCTTAGTCGGAGGGATCGGGACGTTGTCGTCGGAGACGACACTGGTTGGGCACAGCAGAAGAGGAGCAAGAAGAAGAAGAATTGATGTAGGGATTGATATTTTCTCCATTGCATGCAAATATGCAATGCGATGGTATGTATATATGCATGCATGGAACAGTTCGGTCTATAGTTCAGAGGTAATGAGTGGACAACTCAAAGTGCGGCGGGGGATAAGACGTTGATTTAGGAATGCATTTACCAAGCCATGGGTTATATTTGTATTATGAAAAGGCTACACGGAGTATATGATTATTACATTAAATTGGTGAAAATAAACAAATTGCTTTATTAGTTTGTATAGAACAGTCAAGATTTACGTTGTTTATTCTTGTTAAAATAATGAATTCTAATTTAGAGTAGAGGTGGGGACAGTGGTCGGTTTATCTTAGAAACATCAAATTGCAGATCTTGAGACTGGATCAGGTCTACGTCAGTCTATAATATTGGGACCTGAATTAAGAACCATAATGCTACTCCAAAAAAGTGGCGAATCCACCTTGTGTTGTCTCGGACCTCACATACTTAAAAAAAGGCCTATATACTCCTCAGGCATCTCAGTCCAGGATGATTTGAGGATTAAGTTGGTGATGTGGCGGATTTGTTTTGGGATCGTGCTTGAGTGATTAAGATTATTTGGTGAGATTATTTGACAAAATAATCCTGGATTGAGATATGAATCCAGATTATCTCAAGATTATTGTGTAGCTAATATCGGTGCTTAGCTTATACCGTGCAACTGGTGCATGGTGAGCACCATGCACCCTTTGTTATTTTTTATTTCTCATTTTCTCAAAATTGTTAATAATTTTTTTAATTTTTGATCCGATTTTTATAAAATTTATATCAAAATTTTTTATTTTTCATGATCTTTCAAATGAGACCAATATTGACTATGTAATTTTAACATATTAACATTTGCGTGTAAAAATATGTAACTTTATGTGTTAATATATGTAATTCACGTTCAGTCAGGCCAAATGCAATGCAACTCGTGTGTATAATTATGTAACTCTACGTGTAAAAATATGTAACTTTACGTGTAAAAATATGTAACTTTACGTAAAAAAATTTGTAACTCGCGTTCAGACAGGTCAAATGCAACTCGTGTATACAAATATGTAACTCGCGTGTATAAATATGTAACTTTAAGTGTAAAAATATGTAAGTTTACGTGTAAAAATATGTAACTCGCGTTCAGGAAGGCCAAATATATGCAACTCATATGTATAAATATGTAACTTTACGTGTAAAAATATGTAACTTTATATATAAAAATATGTAACTCACATGTATAAATACATAATACAATAATTTTTTTACATACACAATTTTAAGATAAATTGTGATTTACACGATTATTTTTCTGTATTAAATTTAGTTCAGTTTTCCTTATAATCCAATAATCATTTATATAATAGTTCCATAATTTGTTAAAATTACATAAGCAATATTGGTCTCATTTGATAGATCATGAAAAAAAATTGATATAAAATTTATAAAAATCGGATATCAAATAAAAAAGTTATTACAATTTTTAACAATAAAAAGAATAAAAAATAATGGAATCAAGCCGCTGCATGCCACTGCTGCGTCGTTTTGCAACCGAGCGCACCATCCTCATGGTGCACCGGTTGCACGGTATAAATTGCCAGCTAAAATTAATTGGTGAGTGAAGGACCCACAAAATTAAATATCTCATTATTTTGAGATGATGAATGATGTAATTTAGAAAGTGTGAGATCATTTTAAAAAAATCTATATGTCAATCTACGTGTCATTAAAAATCAGTTTATTTAAGTAGCTTGAATGTGGATACTCTTTGAGCATCTACATTAAAAATAAGTATTAGGCGCATGGAGCAAGAGCTTTTGGACGTGTAGGACAAAGTTTTGTTGTAACAATAATTTTAAAAATTATTATTTACGTGTAGGACATAGTTTTTAAATAATAATTTTATTGATTCAAAATAATCTCACACTTTCTAAATTACACCATTCATCATCTCAAAAACCAACTGATCAGTGTATATATAAAAAGAAAATACTAATAATATTTACGCAGAATGCGTTGGATTAGTATATATATAAAGAACTAATTTTTAGTTTTTAAAATTTTCAATTTCAGAACAAAACTTTGTCCTACACGTCCAAAAGCTCTTGCTCCGTGCGCCTATTTCTATACCAATTATTACAAATGCTTCTTATAGTACTTGTGATTCTGGTTATGTGTCCCTAGCTGATAATAAGAAGTGTAAGGTTCATGGTATGGGTGACATAAGTCTTGAGTTTGAAAATGGAACTCTTTTCAAATTAAAAAAATGTTAGACATGTCCCTGATCTTAGGCACAACCTGCTTTTAGTTTCTGCTTTTGAAGAATGTGGTCTTGAGGGAAAATGGGGGAATGGGTGTACGAAAATCCTGAAAAACTCTCTGGTGTTGTTCAAAGCTTTAAAACAAAATAACATGTATGTTGTTCATGCTAAACTTTTTTCTAAAAGTGCTAATGCTGTACTCACTGATAAGTCTGTGCTTTGGCACCAAAGACTTGGTCATATGAGTAATAAAGGTTTGAACATTTTACAAAAATCTGGGTGTTTTGGAACTGATTTGGTGTCACCTATACCATTCTGTGAGGGTTGTGTCTTAGGTAAACAACATAGGGTTCAATTTCCTACTTCTAGCTATCCTAGTGAGCCTAAGTCTAAAGTTGTCCTTGACTACATGCATGCAGATGTATGGGGTCCTTCTAGTGTCCCTACCCATGAGGGTAGGAGGTATTTTCTATCCATAATTGATAACTTTTCTAGAAAAGTTAGGGTCTGTTTGTTAGAACATAAATCTGATGTGTATGTTAGGTTTAAAGAATGGAAAATTATGGTAGAAAACCAAACTGGATGTAAGGTTAAAAACCTTTTAACTAACAATGGATTAGAATTCTGCAATAAGGATATGGATAGGTTGTGTACTGAGTGTGGGATTAGGACACAAAACTGTGCCCTATACTCCCTAACAAAATGGTTTGGCTGAGAGAATGAATAGGACCCTCCTAGACAAGGTTAGAAGTATGTTAGCCACTACTGGTCTTGCCAAGAAGTTTTGGGGAGAGGCTGTAAACACTGCAGCCTACCTGATAAACAGATCCCCTTCTGTGCCCCTAGAGGGTAGAACACCTGAGTCTGTCTTCTCTAAGAAACCCCTTGACCTGTCAAACCTAAAAGTGTTTGGGTGTGCTTCCTATGTACACCAACAGACTGATAAACTTGACCCTAGGTCTAAGTAGTGCATATTCCTAGGTTACCCTGAAGGTGTTATAGGGTATAGAGTCTGGGATAGAAATCAGGGTGGTTTTAAGGTCATTCTAAGCAGAAATGTTGTGTTTTATGAAATTGATTTTCCCTGCTTAGTTAAGACTGTGACTGACCCTGAACTGAATTCTGATGGCACCACTCCTAGGGAGGTGGAGCCTATCTAGACTACTGTTGCCCCTCTGTTTAATGAATTTGAATCTTCTGATGCTTTTGACTTGACCAACACTTTGCATGACACCCCCTCCACCTCCAGTGAGGTGGAGCAACCTACTGGGTTTAATAACCATGATGAGAATATGCATGATGTGTTTGCTGGAGATGATTCTACTGATAACAAGTCTTTTCATGAAATGAATACTAAGAATCAGGAACTAGATAACTACGAGTTAGCTAGAGACATGACTAGGAGAAATATAAGAAAGATTTCTGATAGCATGACTGACTATGCTTTTCATCTGTATGATACTTCCTTGTTTGCTTTCTCTGTTTTTGAAACTCTTGAATTGAATGAACCTAAAACCTACTAGGAAGCCCTTTCCTCTAGAGAATCTAAAAATTGGTTTAATGCTATGCAAAGTGAAATATGTTCCCTTAATTGAAAAAAACTTGGTCCCTAGTTCCTAGGACTTCTAATTGTTCTGTTGTTGAGTGAAAATGGCTTTTCAAAGTTAAAGAGGAACCCAATGACATTAGGTTTAAGGCCAGGTTAGTAGCTAAAGGTTTCACTCAAAAGGAAGTGGTAGACTATGCTGAAATTTTTGCTCCCGTAGTAAAATTTACCACAATTAGGATGATGCTTGCCCTAGTTGCTCATAATGAATGGGAGATGAAGCAGATGGATATTACCACTGCTTTTCTACATGGTGAATTAGATAAACAGATCTACATGACCCAACCTGAGGGTTTGTTGACCCTAAGTACCCTAGACATGTCTGTCTACTTAGGAAGACCCTCTGTGGCATGACACAATCTCCCAGACAGTGGAACATAAAATTTGAAAAATGCATGACTTCCCTGAGTTTCAAAAGGTCTGATTCTGATCACTGCTTGTATTTTAAGAATACTGCATCTGTACCTGTTTTCTTTTTTTATCTATGTTGATGACATGCTTATCATTAGCCCTTATGTGAATGCTATTAAATCTGTTCAAAAGTGCCTTGGAGATGCTAACAGAATCCTAGGGATTAACATCATTACGGATAGGAGTAAATGTACCCTTACCCTAAACCAAACCTCCTATCTTGATAACGTCTTCAAAAAGTTTAACATGCATTCTGTCCTTCCTGTTAATGTTCCCCCGGCTCCTCACTTTGTAATAAGTAAGGATCAGTCTCCTAAGACTGGCCCTAAAATTGCTATGATGAAGTCTGTACCCTATTCCAATGCAATAGGGTCGGTCATGTATCTCATGGTAAGCACCAGGCCCAACATAGCCTATGTTGTTAGCTGCTTAAGCAGATATATGGCCAACCCTGGGATGCCACATTGGAATGCCCTGAAATGGTTGCTTAGGTACCCTTAAGGGCACCAATACTCATGGTCTTGTGTTTTCTAAAACTGATACTGGCATTTTACTTACTCGCTATGTTGATTCCAATTATGCAAATGATAGGGACAATAGAAAGTCTACCACTTCCTATATTTTTACTGTGTGTGGTTCTTGCATAAGTTGGAAATCCCAACTACAACCTATTGTTGCACTGTCCACTACTGAATCTGAATATGTGGTAGCCACTGAAGCCTTTAAGGGGGTCATTTGGCTGAAGCGTA